ATTCGAGCGGAATGGGGTGGGAAGCCGATACCTGCCGCGTTGAGTGTCAATCAACAACATGGGAAGAGTTCATGCAAGGCAAACCAAAGTCTTGGGGCAGCTGGAAGAACAAGCGATTTCCCCAGTTTTACCTCTGCGAAAGACTCTTCGGATCAACGCTTGCTCGAGGACGGAATGTTCTCGCATCCACAGCCGAAGAACCGCAAGCTTTTCTGGATGACGACGACGACGCACGCTCAGAACATGAGTTGTCGACTGGTGGCGACAGCGAGCTGCAATACGCGCCCGAAGGATGGCGTCGAAGCCCAAGTGATGAAGACGCTTCACAACGCCAAAGGGACGACTCAAGGGACGACGCAAGGGATGGTGCAAGGGATGATTCACTCGAAAATGCCACGCGAAGTCGCATTAGTGCCAATGACGAAGATTCTGTGCCGTCAAAGCGCCGTCGTTCAACAATGGCATCGCAGTTATCTCAAGACTTTCGTGCTATTGCCGACCAAAACGCCAAGGAGATGGAACTACTCGCACGTGCACTCGGCCCACCGGTACAAGCATCCAACGTACCGCATTGTGCAAGAGCAATTGAAGTGCTTCAGGCGGACTTTGAAGACATGCTCAGCGTTGATGAGTTGGTCAAGGCATTCGAAGTCATGGAGAATGAGACAAAAGCGCTTATGTTCCTCCACATGAATGGCCCTGTGCGTGAAGCTTGGATTCGACGCCAAATATCTCAGATTGATTAGTTTAATGACGTCTATGGTAATGCATTTTCAATTCAGCTTAGTCGCCGGCGTCGCTCATTGAGAAGGTTCTGGTAATTCACCCACATTGTACCAGCAATTGAGTCTCGCCACAATTTTGCTTCATCACTGTCGGCGTCTTCAACATGATCTGCGGGATCGTTTTGGTCTGACACCGCTTCCTGCTGTTGTTGACGCCGCAGGATGTCAGCATCTTGTTCAAAGCGATCCTGTCGCACACCCCATCGACGAATGAAGTTGTGCACGACACACAACGCCATCACCAAACTGACTTGAAACGAGTAGTCGTAGCGGACACCACAGCTCAAAACGGGAAATCGCATCTTCAGGATGCCAAAAATCCGTTCGATGCAGTTGCGGAGTTGGGCGTGGCGTAGGTTAAAAAGTTCTTCCTTGGTTTGGGGCTTCAATCTTCCTTGTCCGTACTCCTTCAAGTGGTACCGTGTTGATCGATACGGCGTGAGGCATTTCTTGGTCAGCGCAAATCCAGCGTCGAGAATATCAAACTTCGTTGGCGACAGTACTAGCCCTCGTAAGAGTGCATCGGTGTACACCCTTCCGTCACCAGCTGAACCTTCCCATCCGGCAAGGACATAGGTAAAGTGCAAGTCGAAGTCGCATGCAGCAAGCACGTTCATCGTCACTCCTTTTCTTCCGTGGTATGGAGCGGATTCGCCTGCCTTGACCCACACCGGAACATGTGTCCCATCGATCGCCATTCGACAGTCGTCGAAGTATGGAGACAACTTACTGTTGGTAGCGATTTGAACTGGTGTTGGTCCGTTGCTTGGTGGGAGGAAAATGTGACGTGGGGCAATGGCCAGCAAAGACGCAACAACCCGACGGAGATGTCTTGAAATGGTTTCACCAGAGTGCTGAAATCGCTGTTGCATGTTGGTGTTTGACGGCTTGTGTCCGACGAAGTAGAGAAACAAGCAAAGCTGTTCTTGGCAGGTCACAGCACGGGTGGCTTTGAGATCTCCGTTTCGCATGAGTTCTTCAAGTAGCGCGATGAACGATGGCCGCGGCATTCGAAACATCTCGATGAATGCGTCCGCGTTTCCGACGAGCATTTCTTCGACCCACATAGCTCCGGTCAGGGCAGAGACTCGTTTGGGGCTCTTGAGTAGGTATGCTGCGTAGTGGTACGCCATGTACGCGAGCATGGCAAGCTGTCGTCGACGCTGAGCTCGACGTCGGAGGATCAGCAAGCAGGCCACCTGCTTCATCGTTGGGAGTGGTTTTGAAATTCGTCCGATATGATGGTGTGAAACTGCCATCCAGACAAGCGACAATATTTTGATCGGATATTTTTATTGAAATTTGGTACGAAAATGTTTTTATTCTATTTCGAATTATAGCATATTTTTATGAGGTGGCATCCAGAGGAGCCCTAAGATTATTGCTTGTGGGATTAACTATTTTAAAAAGCAGGTTTATCCCATTTTTCGACTTTTGGTCTGTTGCTCTGAAATACCTTGATTATTTATTGTAAGGAAGCGAAGTACAAAAACTTTCTTGGAATTTAAAATATACTTGTGTATCCTGAACGAAGGGGCGCCAGAATAAAACGAAAGCGCAAGCAGTCGCGATTAAGCGCATCATGCCTGGCAAGTCGGACGACGAAGAGCTATCAGGAAGTGAAGAGGAGGAAGTATCCGGGAGCGAATCTGGTAGTGGCGAAGAAGAAGAGGAAGAGGAGGAGGAGGAAGAAGAAGACGAGGCTGCGAAGCCGCCCAAAGCCGACAAGAAGCAGCCGTCGTTCAAAGACAAGGCCGTCGACGACGTGAAAGAACGCCCGCTCCAAAACCAGCCGTTCGACGCCGCGGTGGATGTGAGCGACAGTGAGAGCATCACAGACGCACAGTCCCCCAAGAAAGAGAGCGGAAAGACGTTGAAGAACCAGCCATTCGACGAGGCGCTCGAGTTGTCCGGAAGCGTGAACGACTTGGAGCTGCCTACCAAGGACGCCGCGCCCAAGAAGGAGGCCAAGGAGTTGGACAAGGTCGAGGAGAAGAAACCATTGGTTGAAAAGGGTGCGGCGGCGGCGTCTACATCGACAGCGGCCGCTCCCAAGAAATCGACAAACGCGCCGCCTGAAAAAGGCGAAGTCAAGAACAAGCCGTTCGACGAAGAAGTCGATTTGAGCGATTCCGAGGCGAGTGTCGACACGTCCGGCGCGCCATCTCCCGAGAAGCCCAAGCCGGAGAAGCGATTGAGCATGAACCAGACGTTGCAGACAATGCCCAAGGCTGCGACGGACAAGGCGGCGGTGGCGGCCGTGGACGAGAAACCCCCCAAGGACGTGAAACCTGCAAACCCTTCAGCGGCATCATCCAAATCTCAACCTTCGTCCAAGGACTCTAAATCTGCTTCAGCATCGTCATCGTCATCCAAGAAGAAGAAGAAGAACCACGAAAGCTCATCCGAAGGATCCGAAGACGACGACGAGGACGACGAAGACGACGAGGACGAAGACGACGAAGACGACGACGACGACGAGGCGACCGGTGGCGGCGGGAACGCTGCCGCGTCAAGCGGATCCGCCGGCGGAGGAGCGGCGATCGGCGGCAGCGGCATGGGCGTCGTTCCCGGCGCGTACAAAGAGAGCGACTTTGCGCATTTAAAGGTCACGCAGGACATCCGAGAGCTGTTCCAGTACATCGGTCGGTTCAAGAGCCAAGACATCGAGCTCGAGACGCGGCTCAAGTGCTTTGTGCCCGAGTACATCCCGGCCATCGGGGACATGGACACGTTCTTGAAGATCCCGCGGCCAGACAACGAAGCGGACCAGCTGGGGCTCAAGGTGCTCGACGAACCGACGATCGCGCAGAGCGACGCGACGGTGCTGGACCTGCAGCTGCGCGCCACGTCCAAGAAGAAGCACGGCGATATTGTCGTGCGGTCCATAGAGCACGCAGAGAAGAACGTCAAGGAGATCGACCGGTGGATCAAAAGCATCGCGGATTTGCATCGCACCAAGCCGCCGCCCCAAGTGCATTACACCAAGACCATGCCAGATATTGAGACCCTCATGCAGGTACGTACATTTGTACTTTGAAAAAGATGAAAGATGAGCATGGAGGACAGGTGTGGCCAGACGAGTTTGAAGAGCTGCTGGCCAAAACGCAGCTGCCCCACGCCGACTTGGACGTGACCGTTGACCAGTACACGCGGGTGATTTGTGCGATTCTCGATATCCCCGTGTACAAGAACGTGTACGAGTCGCTGCACGTGCTCTTCACGTTGTACTTGGAGTTTCGGAGCAACCAGCACTTTATGAACTACGAAGTGGACAACACGGCAATGTCGTCGGCGTCTGCCCTTGGCAACATGGACACTGGTGGGAATCGTAGTCCGATGGTCGCAGAAAGTAAATAACATGCCAACCACGAAGAATTCAGTACTATCTTCACCAACGACACAAAGGTGGAGATAGGTAGGCACCTGATTTACATGCAACACTTCGCTCCAGCATATATATATATATATATATATATATATCGTTTCGACACTATTTCCAATATACATTATATCAAGCAAACAGGGTCAATATAACCGTTTTGGGGCTGCTTGAATCCGTCTTTTGTGCGATGACCTGTGACGCTGTGCCGTTTTGCCAGGAGCATACGCAGCGTCCAACGCGGCTTCCAACTGTGCAACTTCTGCACACATAAAGTCGACTAATCGATCGACGTCGTGTGTGAACCCGACCACAAACGCGATTTGGCACGGGTCGGCTTCGTCGCGCAAGACTTCCAGGGTGTTTTCACCGTCCGAGAGGATGAGCACCACACGATTCCATACGGGGTTGGCAAGGCGAAGGTCCATGAAATTGCGGAGCAAGGTCTCGCCCATCCAGTTGAACGCAGGTTGTTGCTACATGCACCGTGAGACAAGCGTAAAGTTGCACACGAACTAGCTTATAAACTCCATACTTCGTCCGCAGCTAATGCATCGGCGTGGATTCGGCGCACGAGTGAGAGCAGCACTTGGTGGTTTTCCACTACACAAGTCGACATGATTCCATTTGTGATCCGGATAACATGAACAACAGTTTGTTTCAATGATCTGTACTTCATAAGCGGGTCTATGTATTGTCAAGTCGATTGGAGTGTTTGGTTGGTGCTCAATCGATTGAGCAGAATCACCAAATCGGCAGACAATCGATATATACGACCAATCAAAACCCAGATCAAGAATCAAGTAGCCAATCGAATCCACTCTTCGACCAACTCAACATCGAATTAGTATGTGTGACTGATATTAGTGTGATCCTGGACGATCTTTATATACAAAAGTCAGGACAAAGAATCGATCGATGATAGATTTGGCAAAGAATCCGCACAATAGTCAACCACATTTTGGGGAAAAGAAGGACAATAAGATGACTTGTGTACCGTGTTCTTCAAAGCCAGTGGTGTACTTGAACACGACGTCCCGTTCGCGAACGAGCATGGCGCGAAACTTTTTTTCAAATGTTTCATTGGATCTACACGTATAATCCATGAAAAAAATATTCAAGAAATATTTTATTTTTTGAAAATTGTTTGGAATATACATACGTACTCGAACACAGCCTCGGCATCGGCTTCCCGGATCGTCTCTTCATCCTACCAGCGTGCACATATGAGAGGTCAATGGACGTGTATGTATATATGTACCCATGGTATGAGTTCGCCGTTGGGATGCGCAGACAATACGGGAAGGTCGGCTTGTCGGAACAAGTCGCGCAACACCGCATTCGTGTCCTTTCGCCAATGGACGGCAGCCACGTTGACCGTCCGACGATGCATCAACGCGTGATGGGACGCCTCGACCAACTTGTCGGAGAGTTTCACAAAGTGTGAGATTCGCGTGTACATGTTGCCTTTGATGTGAATGACCTCGGCGTCGCCGGCGGTCTTGATCTTGCGTAGGCTGCGTTGGACTTTCTTGGTCGTGGGGATGAAGAATTCGAGGGGAAACTCGCGCGTGCTGAGGTCATCAGCCTTCAATTCACCATTACAGCCGGCTGAGGCAATGTCCAAGTACGCATTCAGTGTCTTCATCGCGTTTTCGTTGTGGTCCTTGATCGATTGATCAACCTCCTTCATGCTGTTCCGATCCACTTGCATTACGTCAGGGTGGACACGCAGGAGGAAGGTCGACATGATCAACTTGAGATTGATGGACTTCATGTTGGTGAGTTTGGACGACGTCGCAAAGCATCGACTCGCCGCCGACCCCGGGATGATGCGCGCGCAATTCCGTAGCATCCTTTGTTTCTCCACCCAATTGTCGATGTTGGGAATCACGACGTTTCATTGGTTGTTTGGTATCCGGTGTATATCCGGATAATTTGAACATAGTTTGTTCATTTATTATCCGGCATGCTATCCGGATGTTTTGGATTGTTCCATTGTCGTGGGCTTGTGCGCGGTCATGGCGACGCATGACGGAATGGATCGCCCGCGTTCCCCCAAGAAGAGCGAAGTCTACGAGAAGCAGGTACATGCAATAAAGCGAAGAAGATGATGGTGGCTTACCCTTCCGGCAGCTTCTGAACCGCTCGGCGTCCATGGATCCAGTATGGCAAGCGGCGACATCTCAAATGGCCAAAATGAAATGCGCCCGTGTGGTAAGTACTTGTCGCCTGTAGTACGATCCCCATCATGCTGATCGTGTCCCATTGCAGCTTCGCGTGCGTCGGTATCGGATCGAGCAATGCATGACGCTCTTGTCCCTGGTCAGCGTGTTCGCAACGATTCTCGTCATGCAGGTAGTCATGTTCGTCATTCTCGCGGCTTTGGTCCATGATGTTACTGGTCTAGTTCGAAATCGTGTCCTCCACCCATGTTGTGGATGTCTCGAGTCTACGCTTCGACACGGTCGTGCTTGTCTTTCGAACCATCGTCTCCGCCACCACGTTGTTCTTGATCGGGCTGATCCTGTTCCGTGCCGGTGCGTTCCATGCCTGAGCTTCCCATCAACTTGACCGTCATGATGACTAGACACCGTGTGCAAACTTCGCATCGTCACCTTTCGACTGCCTCCCCACACCAAATACTACCACCCATCCGCTGGCCTGCTCATGTACATTCACCAACCCCTTCCAATCATACATACATACATCAACAGCATCTCCTGACTCTTGTGCGTAGGAAAATTCTGTTTGAAGTCGCGCTCGTGTCGGTGCATGTTCCACCGGGCTGGAACCATCCGTTCATGGACACGCGCTTCATGTCGGCGTCCATTCTCGTACGTGAGTGATGCCATGAGCATGGGGACATTTGAGATCAACTTTGAACATATCTCGTTCCGACTTGTTCGATAAAATAGTCCTATTCTTTAGATCGTTTTGATTAAATATATTATATTATTTGATACTAGTGTGTATTATTATTGTTATTATTAAAAATATTTAAGATTTTTTTTTAAATATTTCAACAACGACGCCGATATAACTACGTAGTATATATATTAAAAAATATTTAAAACTAATATAATATATATGTATTAATTTTAAATATTTTTAAAAAATGTTATATTAAAAAATATTTATAACTAATATAATATATATATTAATTTTAAATATTTTTTAAAAAATATTCAAACGACTACATGGGTCAAATTTTTTCACTGATTATCTATTTGCCGTAGAACACTACAACAGGATTGCAATCATGTCCTGACGAGTCGCACCGGTTGGCGGGTTCGTTTTGCTACAAGGACCTTCCCTGGCCCAGCTCTCAACTCGGTATTCATTTATATGTTCTCATTTGCATATATTTGTGGATTCAATACGAGAAATCTCTCTCATGTGTTGTGTGGTTGATGGCAGATGTGGTCGTGTTTGTCCGACTGTACATGCTGTTTCGATGGCTGCGACACCGTCTGGGCTTTGAATCTGTCGACATCGAATGGCTCGGTCGGTCGTCCTCAACATCAAAAATCGATACGCTCATACATATATATGCCCTCGTTGTTTCAGGCACGGAGTGGCATGTTCAAACCCAATCGCTGGCGTTTACCGTCAAGTACATGTTCCGCAAGCATCCAGTGCGGTTTGCCGCCGTGGCCTTTGCGACAACGTGGATGTTTACGAGTGTTTTGGTCGAATTTATCGAACACGCAATCAACGTCGACCTCGACTCGACCGTTGAAGCGCTGTGGCTGCTCGTGCTCACGATGGTATGTAGTAGTACTATTGACGACTACTAGTAGTAGTAGTACTAGATATGGACTACTAGTCGACAGCGGGCCTGGGCAGCATCCCCCCCAAGTCGTTCCAAGGCCAAGTGGTTGTGGCTATGGGTGGCATCGTCGGCGGTGCCATCATTAGCGCCCTCATCACGTCCGTCCTCATCCAATCGCTGCGCGTGACCGACGCCGAAGCCGCCGTCGTCGACATCCTTGTCGCCCGCCACGTTCAAACCGACCACCAAGTTGCCGCCATCCACGTCCTCGAGGTCAGTATATATTACTAGTATATATATATATGATGCCATTGAATTGTATATATTGTAAACGTAAAGGTGCTGTATCGTTTTGGATTTCTAAATACATGATGTCATTAATGTGTATTCTATATATATATATATATATATATATATAATACATGGTGCCATTGAATTGTATATATATATATATATATATGATGCCATTGAAAAAGTATTTATTCTACCAGCTGTTTTGAGTATTCATGCAGCGTAAAATGGGGTAAATGACTCGTTCTTTGTCTATGGTTTTCTAATCGATACGTTTCAGCGGTTTGGTCAGTATGTCGTGCTCTTGACTCGACACGCGACGACAAGAACGGCCCTCCGACACGCGAAAACGCATCTCTTTTGGTACGTGGGTTCCAGTGACCCGATTTTGTCGTCCCTGGTCGTCACATGATCGACCTGTCCAGTGACCGAAATATAATGCATGCTGACCATGACAATGCATGCAGGTCCACAGTGACATTCCAAGCCAGTCGCCACGCCCTCGCCCATTTGAACCAATCCGCGATGCATGTGCTGGACCGCAAGACCGCGGCCGTCAAGTTCCGCACGACGGCGCTGCTGTCGGCGCCGACCGCCGCGCACACGGCGGCCTCGATGGACGCGCTGGAGCGAAAGATGCATGCCGTGCACAGCACCCTGCTTGTGAATGCGATGGCACACCGCCCTGGACACTCCCATCGGCACCCCAAGGGTGGGTAATGGGTTGGTACAGTAGTAGTATGTACTACGAGTTGGAACTAGTACGAGTTAAATCCCACAGAAGGGGTACAAAGTACACGACATAGCGTGTTAGCAGTTGTTAGCTCCACAAGCCCATTTTACGCGCTTGCTGTCGCAAATCGTCTGCGTTCTGCACAACGTCTTGGACATCTGGCGGCAGCGGTTGCACGCCTTTCTTGGCGGCTGTGTGGACGCGGGACGACGACGACGGAGCTAGCCCACCATGGCTAGTACTACTACTACTAAGACTACTAGTACTACTACTACATGGAACATTAGTAGCGCTGAGTCCGACGACTTTGGACGGGCGCTTCTTCAGGCGATAGATTTCCGAGTCGGATGACTTTTTCGCGCGAAAACTGCCCGGCGCGTTGACCACCAGCATGGCGATGTTCGATCGTTTCTTGAGCAGTCCCTTGGTCGTGCGCCTGTGATTGAGCAGCTGCCTCGACGACTTGTCGTGGCTGGAGGTGGTGCTGCTGCTGCAGCTGCCGGCGCGTCCGTGGCTGCCCACCCCGTCGCTGTTCCCGTCCCCGTGCTTCGGCTCGGGGGACGCGGGTGACGCCATGTCGTCGCAGTTGGCTTCGTGCTCTTCCTGCAGGTCGTCCAAGAGACCAGCGCCGCCACCGTCGAGCCCGCCGCCGCCAAGACTATAATAGACACACACGCATATTCTTGTGTTAGCCCATGTCATTGGGTAGAAGGAAGACCAAGGGGGGGAACTCAACTCACTGGGTGGGGTCAGTAGGCTCGATCTTCTGAAACACGAGCTGCTGCGCCGTCGACAGTTCGTCGTGGTCGTGGGCACTGGAACTGGTCACGTTGGAGCTACCGCCACCTGGGTTGTCCATAGATGCATGCAGGCTTTCCGGATCGACGGTGATCGTGGGCAGGTGGGGAATCGGGGGCTGCCGGTCCGCCACGTCAGCCATGTACTTGGCTGCCATCATCGTCGCATAGTCCACCTCGTCGTACGTGTAGACTGGCGGTGCCGCGTTCGACTCGTGGTGGGGGGTCGTGATGTGCGGAGGGTGCGCCACACCTCCTCCACTTGTCGGACTCGACGACGTTGTGGACTTTCCATGCATGCTCAGATGGATTAGCGCCAAAACAGATCCCGATGGCACGGGCGGGGACTCGTGCGAGAGGTTGGCAAGGGCCAGCGAGCACGCATCCCGCGTCTACCATGGCGTGAGTTGGATATTGCACGATGGATGCTACATCCTTGACGAACAAACGCCAAGATCGTCATGTCGTCGTTCGACTATGACGACAATGCGAACTCTTACCACGTCGCTGTCGAACGTCGACAGGTGCAACAACGCCGACACGGCGTCCTCTGCGACCATTTGGGCGGCGGCGTTGCCAGCGTCGACAGACAAATGCATCAACGTCAAAGTGCACATTTGCAACGTGGGGTGGTTGGCGGCACTGGAGCGCGCCACGCGGACGAGAGTATTGGTACAGTGGAGGTCTACCATGGCCTTTCGACACGACGGCTCGTTGGACAACATGTACAGGCTACGGGGAGAGTTAAATTGTTAGTTGGGTCGATGTGGTTGATGAGCATCAACACCCAAAAACGATGTCGCAGAAATAGGCGCAGTAACATCACTTTAAAAGTACGTACGCCGCGGTGCAGCGCCACTGGATGTCGGGCGACGGCGACAGGTGGAGCAGGGCGTCGATTGACCCGACGAAATCCTACTAGTACGTTCAACAATGTCGCAGGAAATAGATGTCAACCATACGAAAACAATGAGCATAACAAAAAAAGAAGACATTCATAAAGTTGTGGTAGTTACCTCAACCACGAGCTTGGGGGCAAGACCGTCGGCGGCAGCAATGCTGCACAACGCATCCGCACAATCCAACGCGGCGACGTCGTCCAAGAAACCGGACGACGGATGCAAGCACAGTGTGCACACGAGGGCGAGGACGGGCTGCCTCGAGTCGCGGACGTGGAGGAGGGCGTGGAACGAGTCGGCGTGACTCACTTGCCGCAGAAGGAGACACACCAGACGGCGGTGCAGCGGGGGAAGTGCCGGGAGCGTGGCGACTCCTACAAGGGCCAGACAGATCCCATGCTGTAGCATCGTGTTGGCGTGGTCTGGCCGGAACGACAGCGACGCAAGCGTGAGCAGCGTCGCGTCCAAGACGGTGGAGGCGGGGGTGGTTGAGGCGGCGGAGGGGTCTTGGAGAAGGGTGAGCAGGCGCGGCAATACGAGGGTCACCAGCGCGACCACGACACGGGGGTCGTGCAAGTGACTGCGGGTGACGTCGTGCCACCCCAAATGGCATAGCGCCGTGACGACCGTCCACGTCACAGGGCTCGCCACGTCATGGCCAGACGATGGCTCGAGGTACGCAAGGAGCATGTGGACGCTGTCGTCTTGGACTGCATCCATGCGCGTGTCGTCAGAGGCGGCGAGGAGCAGCAGCGCGGCCACCAGTCGAGCGTTCGACCACTGGGTTCGCCGGGCGAGGTCCACCACGGCGGCGACGAGACCATCTTCGACTGCTTTGTGTCGCGTGTTGGCATGCACTAGAAGGTCGCACACGATGGAGCTGAGGAGGTCGATGGTGGCGGCGTCGTGCCCGTCTCGGGACATGTATGCAAAGAGGGTACGCAACGCTTGGGACTCGGAACAGATGGCGAGGCGCGCGTGGGGATGTCGGAGGAGCTTGGCAAAGATGGTGGCTGGAACGGGGGAGGCGGGGCCGTCTCCCCCCTTGGCAAGGGATGGAAGGAGCTTTGCCAGACCTTCGTGCAACATTGCGTCCTAATGAATGACTGTGACGTTAGAAACAGGAACAGCGCAGAGCCAACGCAATCGTTCAAGGACTCGACTATAACGAGCTACATACCATTGTTGACGAGGTGAGGAGGTTGCCCAAGGCGCGAGCACATGTTTCTTTGGTAGCCAAGCTCCCGGAGCGTACAGCGCAGATCATGAGCAGCACGCCCACAGCCCCTTCCGCCACGAGTTTGGTTTCAAAGCCTGGGGTTGTCGACAAGCTGCACAGCGCCTTTGCACAATCGCTTTGACTCTCCTCGCTGTACGAATTGCTTAAAATGGACAGAACGTGCACAATGTTGGCGGCAAGGAGTGCGTCGTGCACGGACGCTTCGCTCGCGAGGTTTCCAATCGCCGTGGCACAGCGGCGTTGGATGTCAGGATCCCGCAGCTTGGCCAGCTTTGTCAACGACGGAAGCACACCAATGCTAACCAGTTTTTGTCGACAGTGGGTGTGGTAGCTCAGCGACGCCAAGAGGTCGCAACAGCATGCCTTGGTCTCCACGTCGCGGCTGTTGGCGCAGGCTGCGAGGATGGCGTCGATGCCGCATTCGTCGAGGATCCACGTGGCACACAGTTGGTCTTGAGACAGCATGCTGAGGCAGGCCACACCGAAGCGCTGGATGGGGACGCACGCGGCGGCTTGCGAAGCGGACGTTTGCAACATGCGCGTGACGACGTGCACGACGTCGGCGGTCGCCACGTACAGCCTCGTGCTGTCATCGGCGGCGAGGTAGCACAGCGACGCGGCACATAGCGTGAGCACGCCGACCGCGAGGGATGACGTCGGGGACGGAGGCGGGAGGTTGGCTGTGCAGAGCGCGGCGAGGGCAGCGACGCCCCCTGTGGTGCCGATCGAGTCTCGGGAGATCGGGTTGTGGCACAGGTTGTAGAACGCCGTCGCGTACAGCAGTTGGCTGTTGAGGGGGGTGTCCGGTTGCATGGCCAGGTCCAAGAGCGACGTCACGGCGCCGCACCCCACGACTTCCATCGCCGCTTGTTTCACCATGAGAAAGTTGCACAGCGCCAACGTGCACATCCGCCGAACGTCGGGGGATCCGCAGCCCGCCGACAGCGCCGTGAGAACTGCCACGCCGTCCCGCTCAACGAGCTTGACGCGGGTGTCGTCGCTGCACGAGCAGTTGTGGATCGCAGTTGCACACACTCGCCGGATGTCGTCGGACGCAATCAGCACCAGCGTCGATCCGACGCCCTGGGCCTGCCCGATCGCCGCCACGACGGACAGTAACCCCTCCACGACCAGCCGATGCCGGATCGACGGCTCTTTGCTTAAGTGGCAAAGGATCGTCCCGATGACGTGGAGCGTCTTGGGGGGCAGCGTCGGGTGCGGCGCGAGAGCCACGAGAATGTTGAGCGCGCCTTTCGTGACCAGCTCAACCCGACAGGACCGCATCGACGCGATGTTGCACAGCACGTACGCGGCCCAGTGTTTGACATCCAAGCTATGCGACCGCAGCAGCGCCGAGATGGCCGGCACAATGCCCTCCTCCATCAACCTCGACCGGACGCGCTTCATGTTGCTCAAGTTCACGAACGCCATCGCGCACATGTGCAGCGTTCGTTCCCGCACCACGGCGTTGCCCATGCCGGACATGGCTCCACTCGTACTGCCACCGCCCCCCGAGGCCATCATCATGGACGACGACGACGCGAGGGACACGAGCGCTTTAACCACGACGTCAATCTGCGCGTACGGCTCGGCCACGCATGTCAAGTTGAAAAGTGCGCGCTCCGAAATCGCGGCCACGCCCGGCGCGTCATTCATCAGCGCCATGAGCGCTCCGACGGCGCTGTCTGCGACCAGAGTCACCTCTTCCCCCGCCAGGCAGCACAAGTTGCACAGCGTCAGCGCGCACGCGGTCTGTAGCGTGCGGTCGTCACACCCGCTCAAGACTGCGACGAGGGTCTTGACGGCGCCGAGCTGGATGATCCCCTGTCGCAGCTCGGACACGTTGGACAGGTTCATGAACGTCGTGACACAGTGGATGCGCGTGGCCACGTCGTCGTTTCGGCTCAGTACCATCACGGCCTGCACGACCCCCTCCTGGACCATCACCCTTGCGTTCGCCGGGTTGGAGCTCCAGTTGGCCAGCGTGGACGCGCACCGTTGGGCTTGTGTGGATTTCACGGACGCGCCCCCGACGGTGGTCGAGACAGGGGACGACAAGGCAGGTACGTCGTTATCGTTGTTGCCATCGGCCTTGTCGGTCGCCAAGGCTGCTGACGCGAGGGTTTCCTTCAACTTGACACCATCCAGCGCTTGGACTGGGGGCCCGGCAGCGGACAAAGAGGCTCCGACATGGGATGATGACAAAGGGGTCGAGCCGTACAGAATCACATGACTCTTTTTCATGCGGGACATGTACAGCATTCCATCGACGTATTCACCGCGGGTAGAAAAGTAATCCCCCACGTACCGCTGGATCGTGCGCTCTGCCGACGCCTTGGGAGGAGCATTGGATGTCGGATCCACCTCGGTGCGCTGGTGCGTAGGTTGCTGCGCCGTCGTGTGGGCGGTTTTGAGGAGTGAGTTGAGCGAGAGTTTGTCGTGCCGAGCCGGGAGCGGTGAAGATGCGCCAGTTGGAGCAGTCGTCGTGGCTGTTGCCGCGATGACGGAGACGGCTTTGAGTGGCGTCGATGGTTTCCTCTTGGAGGCGTCTATCGCGCGCTTTTTGTTGGACTCGTCGGTACTACTCTGGTGCGTCGCATGGCTACTTGTGTGGGAATTGATGGACGTCGGAACGCCGCCCGCGGATGGCGATGTGGTGGTGTGGTAGCTGGGCGGCGGTTGGTTGAGCCGTTTGTTCATATGCCCTTCGTAGTCGAGGGCGTATCCGCTTCGTTCAAAGATCGTGTCGTCGGTACACAAGTGTGGAATGCATTGATTACTGTCGAGGAAGCTGGTCTGAGCGCCCGCTGGGCCGAGCTTTTTAAACTTCAATAGCGTCGGTTTGGTCTTCTTGGTGAGTTCAATGTCACCGACGTCCGAGTCTGTCACAGACGCCATAGACGACATCAACGCCCCCCCTCCGTCCGCCACGCGTCGCTTCTCGTGCTCCCACAACAAATCCAAGTTCATCTTGTGTACTTGCCAAGGCCACCTGGCGCGGCGTGACACGTCGTCTGGTCGTTCGTTTCGCAAACTTAGTGCTGACATGATTGCCGTTTCAGGATGAAACCGTCGACAGGTGGTTTCACATTGACAACCCAAAGTAGTTACTGGAGCTTGACGACAAAAGTCAAGGCAGATGATTGTGCTGTTGTTGCCCTACATTGCGTCGCTAGCTGGGTGAGAGTTGCTCCCCAATACTAGTACCTCAACAGCTAGCTAACCTATTACTATCGCTTTGCACGACAATACTATAGAAGCACCTCCCGTCCAATTCCACAAGTGCACCAAGTTGCAGTCTTGTAATTCATGACACTTTTTTCAATCTATTCCGGCAAAATGCCTAGGACAAGTTCGTTGCTAATATGTTATTCTGTGGATACATTGGCCGTGCAAAGGGACACACATATGATGTCCTTCGTGATGGCTAACGACAGGTCGTTCTAAATGGATTCGTCGGTTAACAGCGATTGGGAGGCTACTGGAAGGCGTGCGACGAGGTCGGCGGCATCTCCGCGTCGCAGCAGCACATGCGGAATGCGAATGGCGGCCCACACGGCTGCATCGTCCTGGGCTCCAAAGCCTTCGCCAAAGGCGAGGTTACTCCCGGCACTGCAATGGTGGTCAAAGTCGTCGCAGATTTCGTCCAGAATGATCACCCCCAGCGCGCCCGCCGCTTGAGCATGGTACACTTTGTTGAAGAGGGGCAATTTGCCTCGACGCACCACGACCAGTCGATCCCGTACATTGTTTTCCAGCGGTTTGTCGGCCAATATGGGATTCGCTACCACCAGTTCTAGATGTACCCATACAAAGTACCACGTTTACATTTCGAACGTTCTCGCAGATGTGTGGTATGTGTGACACTGAACATACACTAAACCAGCAAACATCAAGGCAACGTGAAGACTCGCGAACGAAAACTACTTTTGGCCACGACGTACCCGCTACAACCGAATACAGTTTGGGACTAAAGTGCCCTGGCCACACATGTGCAAACCACGACGTCCACACGAGTTTGCCGTTTGCGTCGTATCGCAGGACCGCCGTGGATAGCGAAGGCGCTATCAACTGGTACGGCTGCAGCAGTTGCTGCGTGTCCGAGAGGTGCATGACGGGACCTACGACATCGTCACCACCAGCCGACGCGAGGTCGTCGAGGTGCTCGCGGTCGTACACGCGATGAAAATGCGGCGCCCCCACCCCCCGCACGACATCTACATCATCACACGCCCATGATTCGTTAGTTAGCACCTGTTTGTTATACATCCTTTCCTGAATGCAACGTCATGTAGTTGCTGCACAACGTGCATGTAACCGACGACGTCTTCGGTACCTTGTCGGGCCTTGGACGTAGATGCAGTTGATACCTGCGACGGCAGCAGCGGCGGCGTCCACATGCTGAACGACCCCACGCCCAGCGCATTCATGGCGGCCACTTGAAACTGGTACGTCTGTCGCATGCGGAGGTTGCACACGGCGCCTGTCACGTTTGTCGGATCTAGCGTCAGTTCCCGTGTCGAGACGACCACCGATTGGACAACGTCAAACTGCGACGTGGTGTTGAACGGGTGCCACGTCATCGCATCATCCACAGACGAGTCGGCAGCAGTCTTTGGCCGTGGGTCGTATCGGGCAGAGACGACGTACCCCACAATGTCGCAGCCCCCGTCGTCCTCTGGAGGCAGCCACGACAACGACACACAGCTCGGAGCTTCGAGGAGGGTGTTCTGCAGCACAATCGGCTGACCCCGGACCACACTCGGCACCCCCATCGACGCCGTACGCATGCTCGCCGACCGCTCGCTGTGCAGCCCAATATCGTCGCCAACGTACAACTGCAGTGAAAACGTGTAAGACGTGTTAGGTCGCAGGCCCGTGATCGTGCCCTGGATCGCTTTGCCGTCAAAGGCATCGCCGAACGCCGTGGTGGGGAGCGCGCTGCGCACCAACTCGGCCGACGACAAGTTGCGCCTTTGGATCCCAATGTCGGCGGTCGCTGGCATAGACTGGATGGATGACTTGTCCGGTACCCATGACACTTGGTACCCATATCGAGTGATATCACCCTTTCGTGCTTGAAACACATCTTGCCACGTCAGTGTTATCGCTGTGCGGTGGATGTCCTGGGCAGCGTCCAGTACTAGCGGCGGCCGTGTAACCTATATATACACACACAAGAGAGTCTACAGCTTACAGTACAGTACCAGTATTGTAAAAATGAAACCTGGAGACTATACAGTACAGTACTGAATAGACTGAATACGATATATACATAGCACACAACAGCCAAGGTCCAGCCCAGCATAGCCATCACGTTGATACTACAACATTCTAAAATCAAAGTACATGTACATACATGTCGAAACGTATATCCACATGTCCAGTACATCAAACAAGCAGAATCCTATCACACAACGCATATACCCACACTGGACTGCTGGCTGGACGACGTACCGGGAGTGTGAGGCCCTTGATGAGCGTATCCCACTTGCGGTCATCTTGCCACAGCTTGTACCGTTCGCGGCGGGACAGCGACGAAGTCGACCCGTCATGGCGGCTTTCTTTGGCCAGGTGTTGGGGTTTAGGCCACTGGCGGAAGGATGGCCACGCCGTGTGGACGCGCGACACCCGCCGGATCATGGAGGAGTCGAAGGTTGTGTCCTGGAAGGCCACGAGCCTTGCGCGGACGGCGGGGTCGAGCAGCGCTTCGACGCGCAAATGCTGCTTCATGCGGTTGAAGTTTGACGCGTCCGTATAGCAAAAGCGGAGTGCCGCGCCTTGAAACGTAGCGGCATGGCCGTTCGGGATAAACAGCACGCGACCGTACCCGAGGACGAGCGAAGACTGGGCAGATGATGGGGATGATGGAGGGGAAGCGGGAGTGGTGTCGACGGGGTCTTGACGAAGAGGCAGCATGTACTCGTCGGCGGACGGCGCGCGGGTGGACACGGACACGGACAGCCCGCCGGCTCCTTCGACCGACACCAACGCCATGTTCAACCCATACCGGCAGTGGGTCGCGACGGGGCTCTCGGTGCGCAACAGCGTTGGAAGGGTGATGGGGTGAGATGTGTTGATTCGCTGCATGTAGTCGTTAGCGACACACGTGGGAACATGGAAGGACGGTAGGAGGTCCTGGCATGGGGGCGAGTGGATGTTCAACGTCGACGACCCCAGGGCAGGATCGAAGCACGTTGCGAGAAACGCGGGCGGGAGAGAAAGGACGTCGGATGCTTCCGCCGGCTCGGCGTGGAGGACGTGCTTTTGGAAGAAGTCTTGAAAACTCGCGTCGTCGTTGACTGTGGCAGCATCGTTTGGCCAGATGCGAACGGGGAACGTTGGAGATGGAGTGTGTGGATCGTTGTGGTTGCTTCCTTCTTGGGCATGGAGGATGAGTTCCATGTACTGAATTTTGTTGCAGTGCTTCACGAAGGTTGGGTCTAACGATGAGTCGAGGTGCGAGTTGCCTCGCGTGTACCCCTGCGCCTTGCAACGTGCCAGGGATTCTTCCAAGGGCACGTTATCATCGATATCCGCACCCAAACTTGCATCAATCTGAACCTCAGAGGTCCATCCATCTACAGAATGATCCATGTCAGTCCCACACGCCGTGTGGAAGGCCCACATCATGTACGCCCATGGATACGCCCCACAACGCATCCCTCGCTCAGCGATCTTTGGACACACGCCTTTTCACGCAATGGTCATATTCATTTTGACAGGTCCCCTTTAATATAGTAATATATCCCTGTTGGAAAATATATTATACGTTACTACTATTAATAGTAATATTACTCCAGCACCTAACTCCATGATGTTAACGTTACCATTTAACAATAGTTTACTAAGGGCGTTGGGGATAGCGTTTGCAGTCTCGGAATGTCATTCGAAGAACGGCCTTTAAACATATTAAAATATTATCCACTCCAACATACCGTATTGTGTATATGTATTGCGACAGGTAGTTATTTCACAACCATAATACGGTTTTTACACGACCGGCATCCGGTTATAAGGCTTCGTGCACAACGAGCGTCGGGCAAATTCTGCTTCCATCGAGAAATTAAGAACCCCTAAATACAAATACTGTACTGTATCAAGATATTTAAATTTGATGTGATATAAATCGAATTTGCACGACGCACGTCAAGCTGTAAGCTAAGCATTTCTATTGGCTATAATGTGCAAAGCCACAAAGGTGATCAAACTCCATCCAGCCACGACAATTTGGAGGTAGAAATGCCATGCGACTGATGGAACTTGTTTCAGTGAAACGTGATGTGGTGAAGGTACAGTATATATACCGGTATGTATGTCGTTGAAACGACAGGTCGGTATGGATTTAGTGTTAGTGGTGTGATCTGTAAATACCCTGGGTTTACAGTCCTGTTAGTTTGGCAGAGAGTAAGCTTACATATACTCCAACATCCACAGCGCAGTTTTACGCTAGTAATCTGTCCACCTTGCATTTGACATTGTGAAACCAAACTACTGTATACAAACCACGTCACGGTCGGCTTGCTACGAATTGAGATTTGTATAGACGCACTGTCCAGACCTTAATACAGTATGGCGAAATCACAAGCTTTTTGGTGTGTTCGTGGTCACAGCGGTTGTATATCGAGCTCGATGTGTTGTGATAAGTTAACTTCATTGTCAACAAGTATTGCAGGAAAGCACAGAGCCTGCAATAGGGCGGCAGATTGACATCCCAAACATGTCAGTTTTGACACACTTTGCATTTCTACTTGCTCTTTATCCTCGTTCCTTCCTCAGTTGGTTGTTGTGGACGATAACTCGATTTGGAGGCTGACTCTACAACTGAATGCTCTCAACACTCGCGACATACTTACACAAAAGGTGGATGTTGAAAACTCGTTCGACAACAGTCTCGTGGACATTTACCGTGAAGCTCGCAATGCACGCCAACGTTAAATTACCGATGAGTGACCACACAAGAGTGAGCAAACTGTACCGGTAGGAGTTTGAGCAACATTAAGTCTTTTACGTGAAAGCAAGCGGCCTTATGCGAAATACAGAAACGATGCGAAATACAGAAACGCAGTCCAGTGCCGTGATGAATCATAGAATGGAGGCTCTATGTAAGCGCAGAAGAGATATGTGGTATGCACTTCAATATATGACTTCTACATATATACACGTAGGTGAACTAGCCGCGATATGCACCTTGACTTGGCACTCGAAAGCAGCATGACGCCAGGCTCTATGGGCCATGCCTCGGTCGACGCTCACATTA